TATGTATATATATATATATATATATATATGTATATATATGTATATATATATATATTATCCTTATATATATATATGTTGGTCCCAACTTGGGAATACCAGGTGCAGTAATCTTGCATGTGTGGATGATGTATTGTATAAAGGCCCTGTATGATTGTCAGTAAAAAAAAAAAATCGAAATCTAAAAATATTTTCTCGCTTAAATTAATCTGCAAAGTGTTGATAAACCGTAGAAAACCGATCAATCAATGTGTGAATAGTTGGCAAAACCGGAAAACCGGGTCTAGGAGATATAAGGAAAAAAAAAAACAACTTTAATAAGGACTGCAAATAACTGGATTATGTGTACTATGATCCTTCACATCCTGAAGATCCAGGACATATAGTGATTTTCCAAGCGTAGCTTGGATGTGGCAGGTCCAGGACATATATGTTACAAATGTGGAAGTGATTTAATGATTCAAATACCGAATTTAAAATTTTTGTTTACCAGAAATTGCATTGAGCATGCTTTCTTAAATGAAATATAAGATTGTACTAGGAAGAATGGATCTCATGAAATTAGGCATTAAAATTTTATGTTCTAGAATGTTCTTGATTCAAGATCAAAGCACCTGTCTCATCTGACTATGTTTATACGGCATTCTATTAAGACTTATATATATATATATATATATATATATATATATATATATATATGTGTGTGTGTGTGTGTGTGTGTGTCTGTGTGTGTATACACTAGCAGCATGGACCGGCGTTGCCCGTGCTTGATTCAAAAATCGTGCGACTCATACAGCAATCGCTATCACTTGACGGAGGGTGTAAGCGTGTGGGCCTTGTTCAGATTTTTGATCTCGCTAGATAACACGATTCTCTCTCCCAGAAACTGATCGTCATAGTTACAGTATAAACCACATGTGCGCTCTGTAGGTGCTGAGCAAATGCAAAATACTCCTAAGCCAGCGTCTGCAATAGGGTTTAGCTAGCCACCCTAGTAAACTGGTATCCTCAGATACGAGTGGCCAGCCAATATCAGCTGTAAACACACACACACACACACACACACACACACACACACATATATATATATATATATATATATATATATATATATATATATATATATACTAGCAGCATGGCCCGGCGTTGCCCGTGCTTGATTCAAAAATCTCACGCTCATACAGCAATCACTATCACTTGACTTAAAATATTTTTGCCCTTCCTTGTCTTTAAAGGAGTTCCCTTTGCCATGCTGATGTTGCTACATGCCTTACTTCTTGCCTATCTCACACTGCAAATTTTTTCTAAGCTCTATACTAAACATTAAATCTGTTACGAAAAAAAGAACTAAACAAAATGAAAATAAAACGATCAGCTTTTAAAAAAAAAGGACTCGTAACTGGAAAAACTGAATGAAAAAAGAATGTTAACAACAAATACTTTTTCACATCCAACCCAGTTCTGTAGAATCAGAATCAATGTTGAGTTTAAGCAAGCGAATGAGCCAATTGGAATAAAGTGCCATGCAGATTTAAATTTTTCCCACTTGTGACGAATGCAGCTATCGATTTTTTTTGCATGCTAGCAAGCTAGTTAACATTCGTGTCAGTCAGTTGTTGGCTCTAACGCTGGCCAATAGAATCTTTCTGCCTATTCGTGACAGCCAGCTATAGGCTCTCACTCTGGCCAGTACAAAATGGCCGCAAACTACATGAAAACTGCCGTAGAAGCATGAAAAAATTGATTATTTCCACTATCGATGGGTGTTGGCTTTACCACTAACTTGGAGCATGTGCATGTACATTTTGGTGCAAATCCATCGAAAATTGCGGCCGTGCATTCGTTACACACACACACACACACACACACACACACACACACACACACACACACACACATCCTGCCTTTATATATATATATATATATATATATATATATATATATTCGTGTGTGTGTGTTTACAGACATATATAAACATCGAGACTGGTGAGTACCTACATGTATGACCGTTTTGCGAATACTAGGTTGTGTAAGCTTGGAGGTGTAATGGATAACTGCCCGGAATTGTTAATCAGAGAACCAAGTTTAAATTTTGTTATATTAAATTACACGAGAACGGCAAGAATCCACCTCTCCAAGCAGCTATGGTTTAATTATTGGGACGTGTATTACTTGCATAATTATTATCACACTAAAAAATTCTAACAATATAAAAATGTTATCTGGCTTTAATTAACCTACAAAATGTTGAGAGAGCTATGGAAATCGAATCAATTACTCAAAGAATCAATCCTTTTAAAACCTAAGCAAAATATTAAGAAACAGAAAAAAAAAATCCGTTAGAAACAAAGAAAAAAAACTGAACTGTTATGTAATATCTGTCTTCCTATATGGCAGTGAATGACGGACAATATCCTCAAAGATGAAGAAGAGACTTGAAGCAACAGAAACAAAGAAAATATTACTGAAACATGGCTTGAAACAACAGAGAAAAAGAAAAGAGTACGGAACTATTATGTAATATCAATCTTCTTACATGGCAGGGAATGTTGAACAATCTCCTCAAGGATGAAGAAGAGACTTGACGCACCAGAAACGCAGATCTAAAGAAGGAAGCTGAGAATACGATGGTCTTAATATGTAAGCAATGAAGTTTTAACGAATATGGGAACAGAAAAGACACTTATACATAGAATCAGAAACATTTGAAATGTATAGGAAACCTAATGAGGAAAGAGGACTTTGAAAATTTGAAACTCAAAGGACGTAGTGAACGAGCTTATTTAAAAAGATGGCTAAACAGCAAAAAGACAAAAATTATTAAGAGCTACACACACACACACACGCACACACTCATATATATATATTATATATATATATATATTATATATATTTTATATATATATATATATCATATATATTATATCTATCTATCTATCTATATATCTATCTATCTATCTATCTATCTAGGTTTGCCTGGCTCCTTAGGATTACTTTAGGTTATCGCTCTACTTAATATATTGAGCACTTTACCTAGTTGTCTTTTTTACTTGTTTTGGCTTCTTTGAACTTGGAGCTTAAACAACACTTGACGATTGTTTTCGCATTGTTTTAATGTTCTTGTTTCTTTCTTTTTTTAATTCCCATTTTCCTCGGTTACCGATTTGTTCTACTTCAATTGAGCTATCCGAGGTTTTTTCCAAACGGCTATCACTATATATATATATATATATATATATATATATATATATATATTATTATTATTATTATTATTATTATTATACAATTCATCACACCTAAAAAATTTAAAAAGCTTTTTTTGAATTTGTAGGTCAGATGAATTGGATCGTGATTACGATTCAAATGTAATAAATTATAACCATGGAATATTAGTGTTTGAGCCTTTTATATATATATATATATATATATATATATATATATATATATATATATATATATATGTGTGTGTGTGTGTGTGTGTGTGTGTGTGTGTGTGTGTACGAGGCAGAAGAGCAGGATTTTTTTTCTAGATGAGATTTGAAAGTTTTTCAGGTTTTTTTGCCTGACATAAAACTACCACTGATAATGGGGTCTTGACTAGGGGACAAAATTAGTGTACACCAAACTATTGTCACCTACATGTGACCTTTGGCTAAAATCAAAAAACTGTTTGTCCCCTTACGAGGGTCACGTTTTCCATACACAACAGACACTAGAGTGTTTTTTTCCTTCTTTTAAATAATCAACAACTTAAACCCGCAAGATATCTACTCAACTAAATTCACTGCGTTTTTTCATTAAATGAATTATTTTAAAATGAGTTAGAGAGATTGAGTGATTAATTCCGTTGTTTTTTCTTACAGGTAAATTGATTGTGTTTTCAGCGATTAATGTTGAGTAAACGATTACTGCGCTCTGTTTGAAAGATAGGATAATATCCTAAATTTATAATTAGTTACTGTTTTAAAATTTCTTAGCGGTATGCATATTATCATCAAGAAGACGTTCATGGCCCTTCGCTGATGCTATGATTGTCCTTGAAAAAAAATAGTAAAGTAGTTTCTGTTGCCATTTTACAGCTCTGAATTCGCTATTGTCTGTCTCCTTGACTGGCTGGCAATGAAGGATAAACATCAGTCTGCCTTGCTATTCAACTTATTAATCTGCTCCTAGCAGATTTTCTGTTCATTCATTCGTTTTTTTACGACTTATCTCATCTGTGGTAGCATACCTACGGACGATAATGAGTATGTTCCCATTCGCATAAATACAGTAGTAAATACTTTATATTGGTCTACATTTGGAGATTCGTCTCCAGCTGTGCTGGTCAAACTCCCTGCTTACGGGAATTTTTGGTCGAGCCTACGGTCTTCGATATCTCATAATAAACTCGGCCTTGTGTCTCATCTGATCGCGTGGGCGGTTGCTAGATATCCTGCAGTTGTTGATTCGTCTCCAGCTGTACTCGTCAAACACTTTGCCTTCGAGTCGAGAGGAGAGGTTATGTCGAAGGGCAGAATCTCGTTTCGGGAAACAGTTACACGACCCGTTTTATACGGGGTTTCACGGGGAATTTTGGGTCAAGCTTACGGGCTCGGATAACTGACATTAAATTCGGCCTTTGGCCGCGTGGGGCGGTTGGCATATATCCTGCAGTTGGAGATTCATTGTTGAATTCACCTGACTCACTTCTAGCAGTTGACTACTTCTACACGTCTCTGGCGAATCTCGTGTTGTTCTTGTCCTAAGTATTATCGTTCATTACCAACCTCCGTTTGATTATTCCATTCAGTAATCTTCCCTAGTTTACAACACAATACTTTGCCGGTTATTTAAAGCCAGAAAATATTTTTTACATTTAAGACAATAATGATTTAGTGAAAGAAATATTACTAAGAGTATTTGCGCGTGTGTGAATATAACGAACCCAACTGGAATTAGAACTCGGCTCTTCGATTAACAATTCAGAACCATTATCCATTATACCACCCGCAAATCCGTACTTACAACACCTGGTATTCCCAAGCAGTCACTAGGAACTAACCCTGCTTGATGTTGCTTAACTTCGATGATTGAACGGGAACCGGTGTTTCAACGTGATATGGCCGTAAACCGCTCCTAGCAGAGAATAACTGATGGGCCCATGCATTTTCTAAACGCCTTAGCGCGAACTGAACACAGTTTCCCATTATATTCCATTAGTAAGTAAGAAGTTCAATTTGGTCAGGTTTTATTTTTATCTTATGGAAGAGACTCCCGAGAGGATGATTTCATGAATTCTACAAACTTAGCCTCTTCAAGTCTAGCGTCAACCATTACCTATCGCGCGTATCCTCATCATCTATACTTACTTTCCCCTTCCACTTTCAAAACCTTATTTAGTGCCCCCCACCCCTGCCAGGTTAGTGCAACTGATACGTTAAGCTAATTAAATATATATAAAGAAAGGCGTAAAGCCAAAAGAGATGAACAAAATAGGGTTATAAATTGATAATCAAAACGATATTTCAGTATCTGTGTAAATAGTGTAAAACGATATCTATATTACTTGAGTGTTTAAATAACAACGCAGAATCTTGTTTTCCTTATATCTACAACTGAGCGACTGCAACAAGATACCTTTGCATATAATGAGGACGAAAATGGCGAAGTATATTTCTTTTTTAAAAAGTCGTGCTGGCTAATTTGGGATTTTATTTCCCGCATTTTTTTCGGATATATTTAAGCTGAACATAGCGAGATATAAGCTCACAGCAGAATGGTACTTAAAATAGATACATATTGACCGACAAGTCGATTCTTACCAACCATGGCACTATATTGATTCTTCTTTGCTAATATGCTGTGTCCCTTCAGGACGCTAGCGATCATCGCTTTTCAGAATTTCCTGTCCTTCGTAACTCTGAATAATTTTTTTAATTTTTTTCATTTTATTCCTTTTATTATATATCCTAAACCTTGTTCCGCCATTCATTTATTCAAGCTCGCAAAGTAGGAGATGTGTTGTTTTTCTCTGTTCCTTATGCCTTAAATCTTCTCCTGTGAGTATCAACATTTCTAAGCTCTCTTTCCTCATCGTGTGCCCTCAGAATTTCAACTGTTTCTTCTGATGTTATGTACAAGTGTCCTTTTTGTTCCCATTTTAACTAAAAGTTCGTCGATGCTCACATATTCTGTCCTTTTGTAGAAGCAGTTTCTGTTGGTTCATATTTCCTCTTCATTTTTGAGGAGATTGTCCAGCATTCACTGCCATACAGTAGGATTGATATTATATAACAGTTCAGTAATGTTTTCTTTGTTTCTGTTGCCTCAAGTCTCCTCTTCATTTTTGAGGAAATTGTCCAGCATTCACTGCCATATAGGTGGATTGATATTGCTATTTTCTTTGTTTCTAAAAAAAATTCTTGTTTCTTAATACTTTGTTTAGTTTTTGGGAGTTATTCCAATGTCACACTTTCCGCCATCTGTTAAAAAAAAATATAGGTACTTAAATTGTTGTACTTACTTGATTTTGGTATATCAGTTAGATGCCATGCGTGATACACGCTTAGGCGATCATATATCTTTCGATACATGACTGACAAGGCAGATTTTTTCCCGCAGTAGGTCTCCATTTCTTTCTGCAGTAGAACAGTTGTCATCAAAGACTATAGAATCCGTTCTGTCCTGCTATTTACTCATAGATACCTTTCCCAATGGTATTAGCACGTAAGAGAATGTAATGAATTCAAACTCGGCTCTCCGATTCCTCAATCCGAGAAAAACAACAACAAACCTGATAACTACAATCTTCAGTCAGTTATTTGCCTTAGGCGATCAGAGCTGTGGGTGGGGAGAAGAAAAGAATGTATACCTTTCCAACGATAAGTGAATATAATGGATTCGACTGGAATTTGAACTCGGTTCTCCGAGTCCTCAATCCGAGCCATTATCCATTACTCCACCGTGTGAGTTGTGCTTCTTATTAGCAAATATTTTCTTGTGTACTTTACTTCACTATTCCTCGGGTATTTTAGTGGAGTCTTGAAAAAATTAACCGTATCCTCTGTGTTTATAAAAGTAGTAATTTTTAATTACTTTCAACCTTTGTCAAGTCGATATATTTTTTGCTGTCACTGAAGTTGTGTTTTTTCCGTGTTAAAATGCATGACTGCAACTCAATTAACTTCGAAAGCCTTACCTGTATTTTAACCTCTATTAACCAGTATTACTGAATGTTTGGTTTTCCATAGCTAGAGAACCCAGTTATTTGCCATCCAAGGCTAGAGAACCCTGTCCTGATATTTACCCATAGCTGGAAGGAGAAGAATTTAATTCATACCTTTCCCAAGGGCATTAGCATGTTAGTGAATATAACGAGATTTGAACTCGGCTCCCCGATTCCTCCACCGTGTCTCCTATTAGTGTAGTAGTTCTTTTGAATTCTTGAAGCATCAGTGAGTCAACAGTCGTTGAATTAAATCACAGCGATTTTTTCCGAATTGTTATTAAGCCTGTAAGAGACTGCGCAATAGTTTAAAATTGCCCTAAGCTAGAAAGACTTGAGCCATTGACTTTTTCTCGTGTGAGTTGCACTTCTTATTAGCAAATATATTGTGTGCTTTACTTCACTATTTCTTGGGTATTTTAGTCGAGTCTTGAAAAAATTAAACGTATCCTCTGTTTATTTGTAATTTGCATTTTTGTCTGTTCCTTAAAATTACAACCGTGGATTCTGTATCCTTGAAATTGATGTTTATACCCAGGATTAATCTGACAAGTCTTCAAGTGAAAGGCAACTGTAATGCGATTCAAGCCTGGTAATACGCCGTCATGGGTAAGACGATAAACTACATCCTTTGATCAAGATGTTTTGAGGATCATGGAACCATCTCTTAATTGCTGGTTTTCCCAGGTCCACCCTGACCCGGGGTGGTAGCACCTGTCAGGTTTCCAGCTATAAACAAATAGTTACCCGCCCCAAAAGAGGGGTCAAAACACTATGAAAGTATAAAAATAGGTTTTAATAGCAGCAATCCTTTTTTGGAAACATTATTACCAGCAGCACATTTTTGAAAAAGAAAATTATTACCAGCAATACATTTCTGAATAAATATTACGAACCACACAATTTGGAAAAAAAAAAAAAACCAGCAAAAAAAAAAAAAAAAAATGTCTGAGTCAAATTTAATGTCAGTAAATAACTGCTGTTTTAGGAGTTGTTCTTTCAAGACCTCAATTTGTACTTTTTCATTCATTGTGAAAATAGATCATCAGTGATAGCAGAGGATTAAGTATGAAGGTGCTATCTTAGTCACTAATGGCCGATTCACGCTTCTCAGAATAAATTTGTTTGCTTTGATATATAAACAGATTTTAGCCTCTGCTGCACTCAGGATGTGCACACGTGGGGCAACTTGATGCGGAAGTTATATAGGCGGACCATACGAGAGGGAAGGGACAGAAAGTATCTCATACCCACCCAAGTTACTGAACCTCGTTCGTAGAACGCCCCAAATAAAGTACACTCTTAGTGATATTTGTAGATGAAGTTCGAACATGAATAAACAATCATTTTACATATGATACATTTAGCCACGTTTTCTTAGCCAGTGAAGCGATGGCATTACATAACCTCTTCTTTTACGCGCCATATCGACATTCCTTAGTTTTTGAGGTCAAAATTGGAGGAACTAAGATCCTTCATCCCTCATACACTGGAAAAAATTACCCATAATCCCTTCGTACTCCATTGGCATGAAGAAATTTCCACCCGAACAGCTTCTTCACAACGATTACTGCTTTATGGATCCGACTCCTGAGAGGATGCTTATCCGATCACTAAAATATTTACGTCTTTAAGTTAAGCATTAATTTTTCTACTTATCGTTATAAATTCCATTCCTTATTCTCTTCTCTTAGTACCCCTCTAACTTGAGTGGCTCATGGGCCTTGTATTTAGAGTACAATTAGTAAAAAAAAAGTTTGGGGTGATATGGGGTATCATATATATTATGCCTTTAAATTCCTTGGGGAACATAGGGACGCAATAATCCCGTTTTAAAGTGAATAGGTTCTTAGCCTACTGCACAACCCCCAAACTGGGGGATTAAGTTTTGAATTCAGAGTTCTTCTTCTCCTAGACCAGTCGCCATCCAAGGCTGTAGAAACCATCCTGTCCTGCTATTTCCCCCTAGCTGGGTGGGGAAAAGGAGAGGATTAATACCTTTCCCACGTAAGTAAATGTAATGGATTGGATTGAAATTCGAACTCGACTTTTCAATTCCTCAATCATCAAGCCGTTATCCACTACTCCATCGTGCCTCCGTGGGCTATTATGCCTTTGTGGAATTTCATGACTTTTTGTTTTTAGCTGTAAGTAACTTTTGACCCATTACAACTTTTTTTGTTTCTGTCCTGCAATAAATTTGTTTTCGTTTCGAAACCTCGACTTAAGAAGATTTTTCTTTCAGTCTAATATGCTTAATATTAGACTGAAATGTGCCTCGATTAGTGTCTAAGATATTTACTAAGCAGAGTTTGGTGTGCTTCACTCGCTTAAGTCTGAATACTTGACGCGGAAGAACTGGTCAACGAGCCTAGCTTGCAAGCCACTGTGTTACGAAGCTACACAAGTTGAGTCTGCCACAAAACCGTAACTTTGGGGCGCTTCAACAGCGAATTGACAAACCTGACTACAAAAAACTAGCCAACAAAAGCAACAGAAATGTGACTCCTAGTCGGGATCGAAAGGGCAACAATAACGATTCGATATGCGAGATGACATTACTCACCACTGCACTACAATAATAAAAAAAGTCTTTTTATAACCTAGTCGGACACAAGGCCAATACGGAAAGATATTAAAATTGAAAAAATCCTAGAATAAAGAAAGTCTGTGGAATGATATTTCTCCGATAATCCGCCAACGTGTTCTTTTAAAATTTTATCAAATTTTCCTCTTGTTCATCTCATTCATTATTTTGTGTTTTCCTTCTTAAAATATTTCTTTTCTTCCTTCTCTTGTATTAACAACTGTTCATCATGAAAAGAGGTAAAGTAAATAAAGTCACGTGGCGGGGGTTCATTTAACCAGTCAACAGCTCGATTCGTTGTACTTAAAGCGGAAGAG